AAAAAAAAAAAAAAAAAAAAAAAAAAAAAAAAAAAAAAAAAAAAAAAAAAAAAAAAAAACACAGCCCCATGGTTGGGCGACCGAGTTGTCTCGGCCACACCCCAAATTGGCCACGGCCGAGATGTCTCGGGCACACCCCAGACTGGCTACGACCGAGATGTCTCGGCCACACCCTAGATTGGCCACGGTCCAGATGTCGCTTAGCAGGGAGTGGCGTGGCGGGGCCGCCCCACACGATTTAGAATTAAGCCATTCGAACCTGGGTCTGTATTTCAACAGTGCAAGGATAGAGGCCAAAGAAGAAAAAGGAAAGAAAAAGAGAAAAAAAAAGGAAAAAAAACGAGGAACTATGAATCACGTAGGTGGAAGTTACACCAGTGCTTTGAGGAATGTATCTGGCTAGTATATGAGGACCGTGAGACATGTCGTTTTCTTTGTTTGCTTTTTGTTGTGAGGTCCTTATAGCGCCTTGCCGGCGCGGATTCTACACAAGGCAGCTAACTGTCTCGCTTCATTCAGTTATAGACAAGTACTGTAGCATCCTGTATCGGACCGCAATCACACCATAACGGATGCTTTTGTTTTTTTTGTTTTTTTTGTTTTTCTTGTTTTTTTATTTTTTTATCTGTTGTTCATGATAGACGAGGGCCCTAACTGAATTGCTACCGAAAGGCTGGTCGAGTTTCAACTGCAATTGAAACTCGGCCCATAACTAAAGTGCGAAACTAGTGTTTCGAATGCAATTACAAACTATTTTTGTGATTGCGCCGAAGTTACCCCCAAAAATAAATAAAAACGTAGTGTGGTAGTGTATATTTTTATGTTCTGGCTGAAGATTCGTTCCAATTTTGACCGACACTGCCACACTTCATCGAATGAGAAAAGCGGGACTGAATCTTCCCCTAGGACGTGGAAGTATCCATCGCCACAACATGGAAATGTACACTGTCAAAGACCGAAGATGTGGCCCTGTGTATTTTCATGTTTTAGCTTTTTTTTTTTTTTTTTTTT